ATTGAGGTCTTTGATCCATTTGGAATTGACTTTTGTGCGGGGTGAAAGATAGGAGTTTAGTTTCATTCTTCTGCAGGTGAAGATCCAGTTTTCCAGCACCATTTGCTGAACATGCTGTTTTTCCTCTAGTGAATATTCTTGGCCCCTTTGTCAAATATCAGGTGGCTGAAATTGCCTTTTCTCGTATTTGGGTCTTCAATTTTGTTCCATTGATCTAAGAGTCTATTTTTGTGCCAGTACCATGTTGTTTTTATGACTATAGCTCTGTAATAAAGCTTAAAACCTGGTATAGTAATCCCCCTGGCATTGCTCTTAGTGCTCAGGGTTGTTTTTGGCTTGTAATGAAATGCTTCTTCTAAGTATGTGGTTATTAAATAAATAATAAAAATTAATTAATTAAAAAAGAAAGCAAAAGGACTATTGTATTCTCTCCAGGGGAATTTTGAAGGCAGGTGGTGACCTGAAAATAGCAGTATTTCTAGAAGGGTTCCTGGCTTCCAGGCAACATCCCCCTCCCAAATTGATGTTGGAGAAGTGTCTGAAGTGTTAAGGGCCTCATTCTACATTTGTTCATCGGCACTGGCTTTGAGTTTTTGTAACTCTTAGAAGAGAGCCTGCTTTGCTGGCTTGCTCCTTCAACAATGGCTGATGTGAGCAGCTCTGTGCTGTACAGTAGGGAGACAAATAAACATGCTTCACACATATTCATTATATGTGATGGTAGCCTGAATAGTGACTGTCCAATGGATCTGTCCTTGTCCTGATTCCTAGAGCCTTCAAATGTGACCTTGTTTGGAAACAATCTTTAGAGATGGCTTCTTGTGATGAGTAAATCTTTATGGATTCCCCAAAGTCCATTGGCAAAGGTCCTTATATCAAACAGAAAAGGAGACAGAGTGACCACAGAGCAAACTGGGGGTGGGTAGAGCCCCAGGGCAAGGAATGCTGGAGCTATCAGAAGCTGGAAGAGGCAAAGAACCCCCTCTGTTCCAGAACCTCTGGAAGGGCTTGGCCCTAGTCACAGCAGGTTTTAGGCTTTTGGCTTCGTAATAGATAGTGAATATATTTGTGTCATTTTAAGCCACTTAATTTATGGTGCTTTGTTGTGACAGGAAATTAATGCACACATATATGACTATGCATGTACATAGCTACTTATGAATGAGATAAAGATATACCAAAGTACAAGGCAGACAAGAAGGTGTTTGATCTTAAGGAACAATGGAGCAGAAGATTCACCAGGGAGGACAGGTATTAAACAGCAATGAAGTAGACAGTAGGGAAGAGCAGGGAACTTGTGAGAACATCTGAAGTTTTACTCTTAGGTTGGCAAGTTTTCCCTGAGTAGAGAGACATTGCAACTGAGACTAGCCGGATAACAGAATCTGACACTCATTGAGCACTCGATCTACCAAGATGATGTGTTATGTACATCACATAATTACCTTATTTAACCCTTTAGGGTAGGCACCCTATTATCTCCATTTTGCAGATAAAGGTACTGAGACTTGGAGAATACATCGTTCCAAGCTGCATCCTAGCAAGTGTTAGGGCTGGATCCTATCCTGGGCTGTCTCTGAAGCTCAGCTCTTTGTATGTGTGTATTTGCTCTCTTTTAGGATTTGGGATGCTAAGGAGAAGGATGGAGCTTGGCTTTCTAGGTAGAAGCATTCAGCATAGGGCTTGGCACACATGATATATACAGCAACCCCATCTTACACGAATGATTCCATCAAGGTTCAGCTTTTACTTTGTAAGCCAAGAATTGATGCCCTTTATAAAGAAAGTCTTAACCTGGGATTCTTTTGAAGCAGATACTAAGATAAGGACTCTGGAGGTGATCCCAGGAAACACTGGTAGGAAAGTAGCAGGTGACAGAAGTGCAGTCAGGCAAGGGGTCATAATCAAGAAAGTCAGCAGAAAGTCACCAAGAAAGCTTCCAAGGTCTAGTCCTGCTGAACATCTCTGAGAGCCAGTGTGGGGTTCACCCTGGCTTGTAATGTGTTTCCATTCATGGTTGCATTTACACATGAACACCTATGAGCTTCATGTGGAGTGCTGTTCATGGGGATGGTGATTGCCTTGTGCTTTGGATCTACACAGCAATGGCTAAGGCTTTCTGAGGTGTGGGCACTTTTCCTCAAGAGTGCATAGTTCGGACTGCAGAAACTGGTACCAGGATATTGTTACAGGTGGTTGGAAGGGTTCATCTTCTAAGTTGAAGATGAACATGTGACAGCACATGGAGAAATAGGGTGGGGATTATTTTCCAGAAATTCTATACAGCTGAACTGGACATGCTGTCATTTAGGATGACTGAATCGCTCAACTCAAACCTGAAATTCTGTCCAAAGTCATGCATGGGTATTGACTAAATCATCTTCCCCTGCTTCTGCCCCTCTCCTACATTATAGAATTGAGTTTTCTATGGCTTGAAACTGCTTCTATTTCAGGTGAGCAATTACAGAGAAAGAGCCAGTAATAGTGGGTGGGTGAGACAGAAACATCTACATAAGGACAGGCACTCTATGTAAGGAAGGCACTGAAGACAGTCCCAGAGTCCATGATACAGATTTGGCATTGGAGAATTTGTTTTTGGAGAGGTGAAGGTTGGGGAATGCCAAAGCCAAGCATCTCCCAGCACATCTAATCTGTGGGGGGGAAAAAAAAAACCTTTGGAGGCAGCACCTTGGCCCTCATAAAACTGAACATAAAACCGAGCCTTCTTTGTATCAAAAATTGAGACCAAATCTTCCCGAAGGTGAAGGGAGGGTGATGAGACTTCGGTGGAGGGAAATGGATCTCTTTACTCTCTCAGAGTGTAGAGAAGGAAACGAAGTCCTGGCCAAATTAATTGGGGAAGGAGGAAGAGAAATATTTTCTTTACCAACCCACCATCATATAAAGGGGGTCAATTTCAGTAATCTCAGAGGAATGTCCAGACAGCAAGGTATAATAACATCTCTGTAATCCCCCCTAGGGATGAAGTTAACTAAAGTCCAAATCCCTAGAAATAGGAACTATAGTAAGCAGCTTCAGAAGTTGGATTTCAACCTGGAGGCCTGGAGTCCCTGCGACATGTCAAATGCCAAAGCTGCCAAATGTCAAAATATTGCCTGGTAGCCTTAGCAGGTCTGAGACAAACGGTCACAATGGGGAGCAGAGCACATGTACAATGTGAAGAAAGGTTTCAGGGGAAACAGAGGATGATAGGAACTCCCTGGAAGAATGGGGCTGAGCACACTGGAGAGGTACTACTCTCACCTAGTTACAAAAGACAAAGTCAATGCACACAAGCATTAAAAACATTTACTAAGGTATTCAGAGAAATGTGTATTAATGAGATGAATGAGGTTTAAAAGAAGGTCTGTTCCTCATGGATCTCAAGAGAACAGGGGACAGAGGGAAGCATCGACAGCAACCAGGAGTTGGAGTTGGAGTTGGAGGAGCAGGAGAGAACTGTGGGAAAGACCTTTTTCTACTTTGTTTTTCTGTTGCTGTGATAAAAACAATCTGACCATAAGCAACATGGGGATGAAATGATTTATTTGGCTTATACATTCAAGTCATGATCTATCATTGAGGGAAGCCAGGGCAGGAAGGCCAGTAGGAGCTAAGGCGGAGACCATGAGGAATGGGAAGGACAGCTTACTTGCTGGCTCACTGGCTCATGTTCACCTAGCTTTCTTATACAGCCCAGGGCTACCTGCGTAGGGATCATGTGGCCCACCATGGGCTGGACCCTCTCATATCAATCATTAATCACATCAGTCTCTCATAGACATGACCACAGGTAAATCTGATCTGGGAAATTCGTTTGTTTCTAATAAAGAACTTTTGTTTTGTTTTGTTTTTACTGAATTCTTGTGAATTTCATACAATATATTTTTATCATATTTAGATCCTTTCCCCTATTTGCACCCCCTTGCCACCACAGAATTTCATGTTCTCTCTCTCTCTCTTCATTCACACACACACACA